GAGTGTCCACATGAGATGTCAAGAGGAAATAAGTGGAGAGTACTGTGAATATGATAGTCAGTTCATGATGCAGCTTCAAGCTGCCCCGGCGAACTGCTGTTTGGACTGCGTGTCAAAGTTTGACGGTGGTCTGGTCACATTCCATTAGCTACCTGGTTTGAAGCATAGCCTATTTGAATTAAATATTGTAGTTAGGCTGGTGAAATCAAAAAGGAAATACAAATGGGAAAAAGGATAATTTGGTTCAATTTCTCAAAAATAAAATAGGATCAAGGATCATTCTGCTGCGTTTTCAAAATAAAAGCACTGGTGGCATGCAATGGTTTTATTCCACTGGCATTGGCATTGCACACATTGCTGTCATATTTAATCTAAATACCACTTATTCACACAAGAAGAAGTGAAAGCATATTAGGATCAATATACTCTGCAGGCCACCATACGAAGACAATGTCCATTTGAACCACTACCGATTATACTTTCAAGGACTCGTCTTGACCCAAAGCCTGGCTCACAGAAGAGAGTATAAATGTTTGTCGAATGGAATGCTACTCAGCCATAAAAAATAATGAAATAACGCCATCTGCAGCAACATGGATGGACCCAGAGATTATCATACTAAGCAAAGTCAGTCAGACAGAGAAAGACAAATACCATATGATGTCACTTATATATGGAATCTAAAATATGACACAAATGAACTTATCTCCGAAACAAAAACAGACTCACAGACATAGAGAACAGACTTGTGGTTGCCAAGGGGGAGAAGGGATGAGGGAGGGATGAATTGGGAGTTTGGGATTAGCAGATGCAAACTATTATATATAGAATGGATAGACAACAAGGACGTACTGTATAGCACAGAGAACTGTGTTCAGTATCCTGTGATAAACCATAATGGAAAGGAATGTGAAAAAGAATGTATATATATATATATATATATGTGTGTGTGTGTGTATATATATAACTGAATCACTGCTATATAGCAGAAATTAACACAACATTGTAAATCAGCTATACTTCAGTAAGATAAAAATTTGTTTTTTAAGTTTGTTGAATTGAACTGACAAATGGAAGATTATTCCTGTGGACACTCTTAAAAGACTCTTCGTTGGAAAGAGTAATTCTCCATTTGAAAAATAAAAATGTGAGGTTTGTGTAGGACTAAGTCTCAAGAACTGCAGCCTGGTCCCAAAGCATCTTGGATGCAAGCACATATCCTGAGAGAATCTCTGAGTCATACACAGAGCAACTGGGCACTTGCTCCTGAGAGGCACTGTCAAGGTCTCCGCCCCATAATCTGCCTACTGCTCAATTTATCCACTACAGCAGGCAAGATGCAACACTGGCTTTTCCCTGATGAGAAGGGAACCAGTTTCAGGCAATCTGGGCAACAGAAGCTCACCATGGACCACTAAACTGCCCGTAAATACAAACACTCCACATATTTTCTTCAACCCAGCTGAAACTGAAAAGTCACAAACACCTCATGAGAAATGTACAAAGCCAAGAGCAGGTTTCTCTTATTTGTATTTTGCGGTTCTGAGAACGCCAACTTGCCGCGGATTGTAACGGGAACACCATCTTCTGAGTTATGCCACACTAAATATTAGTTGAGTGGCCTCAGTTATGCTTTCCTTTAATAATAAATTAATCAAAATCTACGGAGAAATTTGTGAATACCAATAGTTTTAAAGCCCTCCTCAAACTACCCTCCAAATTCATCTTCTCCTTTGACTTTTTTACCAATGTATTCATTCATCCAACAGATGCTTATTGAGCATCTAGCCTGTATCAAGCGCTACACTGAGAGCTGGGCATCCCAAGTCCCTGCCAGAGTTTACAGTCCAGTTGGGAGACCTGCTTACCAACAACTATTGGGTTGGCCAAAAAGTGCCTTTGGTTTTTAAGTAAAAGTAAAAGACACATTTTTCATTTTCACCAAGAACTTTATTGAACAACGTATTCAATGCTTTATTCCACTACTTTCTGCCATTTTTCAGGCAAATTCATCATTCCGTCTTCCCAAAACTTTTTATCTTTTTGAACAAAGAATTCTTCCAGGTGCCCTTTACAGTCTTCCAGGGAATTGAAATTTTTTCCATTAAGAGAATTTTGTAAAGACCAAAATAAATGGAAATCTGAAGGTGCAATATCTGGTGAATATGGCAGATGAATCAAAACCTCCCAGCCAAGCTGTATTGGTTTTTGCCTGGTCATCAGAGAAACATGCAAGACTCTTGTGTTATGCTGATGGAAGATTATGTGTTTTCTCTTGACTAATTCTGGATGCTTTTCACTGAAGTGCTGCTTTCAGTTGGTTTAACTGAGAGCAGTACTTGTTGGAATTAATCATTTGGTTTTCCAGAAGGAGCTCATAATAGAGGACTCCCTTCCAATCCCACCATATACAAACATCACCTTCTTTAGATGAAGACCGGCCTTTGGTGTGGTTGGTGGTAGTTCATTTCACTTGCCCCACAATCTCTTCCATTCTATGTTATTGTACAGTATCCACTTTTCATCATCTGTCACAATTTGTTTTAAAAATGGAACGTTTTCATTATGTTTAAGTAGAGAATCGCACACGGAAATACAGTCAAGAAGGTTTTTTTTTTTGTTTAACTTATGTGGAACCCAAACATCAAAGCGATGAACATAGCCAAGCTGGTACAAATGATTTTCAGCGCTTGATTTGGATATTTTGAGTATGTCAGTTATCGCCTGTGTGGTATAACATTGGTTGTTCTCAATTAATGTCTCAATTTGATCGCTGTCAACTTCAACTGGTCTACCCGACTGTGGAGCATTGTCCAGTGAGAAATCTCCAGCACGAAACTTTGCAAACCACTTTTGACACATTCAATCAGTCACAGCACCTTCTCCATACACTGCACACATCTTTGTTTTGCATATCAGTTGCGTTTTTACCTTTCTTGAAATGATAAAGCATAATATGCCAAAAGTGTTGTGTTTTTTCTTCCATCTTCAATATTAAAATGGCTACACAAAAATTCACCAATTTTGATAAGTTTTTTTAAAATGCACACTGGTGTGACAGCTGTCACAATACAATCCAACAAAATTGTTTTGAATGAAGTTAAAGACAACTAAGTGTTACTAGAGCCATCTTAAGGAAAAAACCGAACAAACCTTTTGGCCAACCCAATACAATACAATGGTCATGGTTTGCTAATGGAGGGTGTAAAGGCTGCAGTGGAAACTCAGGGAAAAGAACCTCAGTTGGCCAAGGATGAGGGAAGGTTTCCTAGGGGAGTTGCATTTGCGCTGAGACTTGAAGATTGAGGAGGAATGTTCCAGAGTTCTGAGGGCCATCCCAGATGATGTAACAATATATGGAAAGGTTTAAAGGAATGACACATAAGGATAGATTTGAAGAATTACCTGTTGTTCACTTCTGTTGAGGCATTAAAAACAAGTATATTGGGGAAAAGTAACCTGAAATGAGGCTGGACAGTACAGAAGCTGGAATATGAAAGGCTTTGCTCCCCATTCAAAGGAATCTTGACTTTGTCCTACAGTGTTTCTCAAGGTGGGGTTCATGAGGTCCCTATGAAAATTTTTATGTTTTTGCTTTTGTTTCAATGATAGTTTATTAATAATAATAAAATGGGAGAAGTTGCAGTAAAAACATGTTCCAGATCATCTGGATGGCTAATTGACACACGATTTCAGTGCCCATATTTATGTTTATTATTAAGCCGGCACTAAGCCAACAGAGATGTGCCAGTTAGAGGCCAAAGGAGATGCTGTTTAAACAAAGAGATCACTCTCGCTGAGTAAAGTGGTGGGAGAACTGGGTCACCACATGGTATGCGGTAGTAAGGTTGACAAAATAACTCAAAATAATCCATGCCATCATGCTCTGAAACATATTCACATTGCAAAGGACAACTGAGTTTCACAAAACAATGTCATTTGTCTCATTAAATTAAAGCTGTTTACTTGAACACTGCTGGCTTTGTAGTTTTTACATAATACATTTTTTCCCTTTTGGTTTTATAGCATTACAAATATAAATGACTAGATAAGTGTATGTCTAGTTTCATGGTTTTTAAAATCAATTTAATGGAATGGAATCTGCAGGGATTTTCTTTTTCTTTTTCTCTAAAATGGGTCTGTCCACTATCCAAGTATGAAAGAGAAGGCCATTGAGATAGAATAAATTTGAGCATATTGGTGTAAGCCGATTACTGTGTTAGGAGACCACCTTGGCAATCACACAGAGGAAGGAAAGCCCAGGGACAGAACGGAGATGGAAAGACCTCTAAGGAGATGATTGCCGAGTTCTCTTATTAAAAGAACCCATTTGCTTGATCCAAGAGAGCTGCTCTCAGGCCAGAGTGCTGTGGAATTAAAATGCTGACCTGACAAGCAAAGCTGTACAGTGCCTCTGTTTCAGGGTATGCGGTATCTAGCCCGAAGATTCCCCAAACTTCTATATGTGTCATTTCATAGAGGATTCTGTGGTAATGCCAGTACTAAATTAGGGCAAAATCCCAGGTTTTACTACAGAGCCAAAAAAGTACACAAGAGAAGTTACTATGTATCTGGTAACAAAAAAACAACCAGGACTATGGCATATAGTTCTGTAAGCCAGCTGGAGGTGAAATCTGTCTCTTCACCAAGCCATGTGTCACTGGGGCTGCATCTATCCAGGGAAGGTGACTTTTTCTAATTTACACAATGGCTGGATGAACTTGTCAAGCCAGGACCCTTGTAGAGGGCTGCATCTTCTGGAGGGGGCACCTTTTTCTAACTGCATGAAGGTATTCCGTGGGCCAGCTGTGACTTAATCCCGATTTTCTGAAATTAAGTTCTGGTTTGTCATCATTATCACTCACCAAACCAGAACCCTCACAGTTCAATGAGGATAAAGGATTTTCTTCTTCCTGAAAGTGAAGTGTGTGACCTTCCCATAAAAAGGCATAGTACCAAGGCTCTCAGCAAATACAAAGAAACAGTTGCCCTCTGCTTACCTCAGGGGCCATCCAGAATGGGGTGCCGACAGATGTGTTTCTCCGCAGACGTGTACTGGTGAGTTGAGCTGAGACGCCTATAAGAAAAGGGTGTCACAATTCAGCAGTGAGCAGAAGATGATGCTAGACCAGGGGCTGGCAAACTTCTTCCATAAAGGGTCAGACAGTAAATATCTTAGGCTTTGCGAGCCTAAGGCTCTGTCACAGCTACTCAACTCTGCCATTGTAATGGAAAAGCAGCATAGACAACACAGAAGCAAATGAGTGTAGCTGTGTTTCCACAAAAATTCATTTATGGATGCATAGTTTTCACGGTCATAAAATATTTTTCTTTTGATTTTTTCCCAATCATTTAAAAATGTAAAAACCATTCTTAGTTCACAGGCCGTACAAAAACAGGAGGCAGGTCAGATTCGGTTCACAGGCTGTAGTTTGCCAACCTTTGTGTGGGAGCATATATCTATCTAAATCGAGCATTTCTACCATACTGCTGCAAAACTGGAATCAAAAGAAAACATCAAGAACTAGGATCAACCCAAAATACCTTCCTACTATATTTCCAAAGTATTTCAGGTGATATCTTTCTTAAAATGGTGCTTCATTTGATGGAGGAAGAAAATTGGCATGTATTATCTATAACAGCATCAGTGTAGACGTAAAAAGTTTTCAGTGCCTTATCTTACCTAGAAGGCTGGAAACCTGACATGAAAAATACATTTGTCAAATGCAAAAAGAAACTGACTAATAATATTATTATCTAGGGCTCAATGTTGAGGACCTGAATTTTAATATAATTCCAATGTACTTTGTCATAGTCTTAAGCCAGCTCTCTTCTTTATGCCATAATGGATGTAAAGGTACACTGGATTAGGAGTCAGAAGACCTGTTTCCCATCTCAATTACATCTTTTCCTAACTGTATGACCTCAAGCAGACAACCTCACTCTGAACCTCAGTTTTCTTACCTTCAAATTGGGGATAATGCTACTCATCACACCTAACACAAAGAGTTCTTCTTAAATACCAAATAAGAGAACAACTGTGGGGGCTTCCCTGGTGGTGCAGTGGATAAGAATCCTCCTGCCAATACAGGGAACACGGGTTCGAGCCCTGGTCCGGGAAGATCCCACATGCCGTGGAGCAACTAAGCCCATGCGCCACAACTACTGAGCCTGCGCTCTAGAGCCCGTGAGCCACAACTACTGAGCCCGCGAGCCACAACTACCAAAGCCCATGCACCTAGAGCCCGTGCTCCAAAAGAGAAGCCACCACAATGAGAAGCCCGTGCACCGCAACGGAGAGTAGCCCCCGCTCGCTGCAACTAGAAAAAGCCTGCGCGCAGCAACGAAGACCCAATGCAGTCAAAAATAAATAAAATAAGTAAATTTTTTAAAAAATGGAACAACTGTGAAAATGATTTATAAATTGTAAAGTATTTTACAAATATAAGGTATTCTTTTATACCAAGCAAAATCTAATGCAGCCCTTAAGAGAATAACAATGGTGGCCACTAATGCTGTTGATAAGAACTTAGAAATCTGAATACATATGCTCATCAGCAAAAAACATACCTTTAAAAACATTAGGCATAGATTTGCCAAGGACCATGGGTTGTTTTTTCAGGGTAGTTGTTATGCTAACTGCTTGCATTCCTTATTCTTTATTAGGAAGCCAAAGAGGGCTCTTTAAACTCTGTTTAAACCCTCTGCAATTTTTCTTTGCTTTTTAGTAAATAAACCAATATACTTAGCGTAATTTCATTTATTTTTGAGTAATTTCTTCTGAGCAAGTGATTCACTGATACGTTTTAACACTGAATTCTTTCTTACCAGTAAAACAATGAATATTCAAAATCATCAAGCTTTTCTCCTACTACACTGACAATGATAAAGAACATTTTAAAAAGTGCTTCTGTAAATGGTCTCTCATTATTTATAACAATCATGCTGAGGTACTGATTGTTGTTGAACCTGTTTAGAAGACTAAACCGTTCGATAAACTTAAGAAGGAAACCAAATGGTTTGCTGGCTTGTGACCATCCGCACAGGAGCGCGCACGCAGATACTTAATAGTTCTCTGGCCTTAGGCGGTACTGCTCTGCCTTTCCTTTCACACTTCCATTTCCTGTTAGTGTTTCCAGTTCAACCAGCCTCACACGTAACAGCAACAATCACAACGGAAAGGGATGTTAGCTTTCAGACCCAAAGGACCATTTTACCTTCTGCTCGCTGGGAATAAGTATGCCTAAGGCTAGAGAAAACCATTTGAAAGACCAAACTGCTTTCTCTTTTCATATGCAAAGAAGAATAGACAAAATGTAAATGATAGACAATTGCCCTGAGATGTGAAATCCTTCCCAGAAAACCAAAGTTTTTCCCTCGAATTCTTCTTTTGAAACACTTTTATGTTCTCTTTAAAAAAAATTGCTTCTAAAGCTGAAAATAGATTAACAAACAGCATCTCCTAGGGTGATCCATCTGGTGAACCACCCCCCATTCTCCAGCCTGTGTGCGACTGGAAAGGCCCTCAGCCTATGGCTTAGAAGACAGGCCCCAGTCTTCTGAGACTGCAATAAATTGTTGCCTTTGGCTAAACCGCACTCATCAAGAAAACAAACGACAAGTAGTCATTACCAAAGTCAACGAGCTTAACTCCTCCTCCTGTTGTCAGAAGAATATTATTCCCCTTGACATCACGGTGGATGATTCGGTTATTGTGCAAATGCTGAAGGCCCTGCATGGTGTCCCACCGCCACCAAACAACAGGAAAGAGAAAAGGAAAATTTGCATGGTTATTTTTAAACAGTTACCCTACTATTAAAAATCTAATCAAAGTCCACATATGGCTACACCTCTCTGTTATACACCTTGCATATTATAGGGCAGTTTCCCCTTCTTAATATGCAATGGGGAGCCAACCAATGACAAATTGCCCCCTCTGCCCCCAGCTTGATGGACGTCCTTACCAAGAGGGCCCCATATAAGATGTATGAGATCACTGCTTCATCCAGCCGCTGGCCACACCTGAGTAGACCTTTGACAAGCTCAGTGACGGAGCCCCCATTACACAGCTGCAAGAAGAGGTGCCAGGGGAGAGAGACAGCAAGAGAACACATACAAAAAGAAAAGAAAAGCACATTAAGAAGAAAAGCCCACTTATTACCGACTCAATGTAGTAAAATAAATTTGCAAATCACAAAACTCCAGGTCAGAACAATTAAACTTCACTTTTCCATTACACAATCAAATCTCATTCTGTGTGTGTGTGTGTGTTTATTCAAGGTGATGATTTATGAGTGAAAGTGCATGTCCAAAAAGTTGATTTTTTAAATTGTTAAGTGAAATATAAAAGCCCAAGACATTATTTAGAAATTAAAAAAAGAAAGCATATAAGGAATCATGGTGACTTATGGGATATTTTCATTTTACATGAATATTGTCTATTTTTTAAAAAACATGCATTTTGAAGGAAAGACTGAAAGAGGCAAGATGGATGCCCTTGACACTTAGGAGGGAATACATTTTATTTCAATCTCCCTGTCTCCAGTGCTGGCACTGCAGGCAGCAGAAGCCCAACCAGCAGCTCCTTCTCGAGTTGCCACTGCACGTCAAGTTTATGGAGTGGAGCTGCATCATATGTGTATTTAACCTTTTCATATTCAACTGTAGGAGCTCAGCACCTTTATGCTCTTCTTTTTTTATTCCTGTAATTAAAAACACTGTAAAAGTATATCATATTTGCTCTTTTTACATATTATACATTACTGAGATTTGAGAATGTGTAAACCAGGCATACTATTCTTTCACAGCAATTTAAGGGTTTTCAAGGGCGATTTTGACTAAGTGCAGAAGGCAATGTGCCGGTTTGGGTTTGCTACATGCCATCTTAAATCAAGGGTTCTTAACTTGTTTCAGCAGGGCTTGTAAATACCTTGAAACTGTAGGCAGCATGTTGTATATGCATCTTGCACTTTTCTGCTGAGAAAATTCAGAGCTTTTGTTGGATACTCAGAGCACTCCTTGTCCTTATACAGGTTATGACCCTACTTTAGAGACCTAGGTTTCCTCCTGGCACTTTGTCTACAATCTGGGAAAGAGTTAACTAGTGAACAGTGGGGGGTCCTCTGGGTTGTGGCTGCTTGAGTCAACTGGCTTTTCATAAGCAAAGAAATGTGAGGAGCACAGATTAGCACCTTTCCTAAAAGAAGACACTCTTTATCAAGATAATAATACATTAGGATCTATTCGACTCTAATGAACATCTGCAAGGTTTTAATAAATGGTGAGCAGGTGTTTTTGTTTGATGTGTGTGTCGTTCCCCAGTACATATGCAGCAGATACCTTGCACACACATTAACAGCCAGGATAAACTGGAAATGAATCTGCCCATGTTTTTACCATTTAAGTTGCTCTTAAACAATAGTATTTGACTAAAAATATAATACAAAATTAGGAATCTTTACAACTAGGATAAAATTACTATCTGTCAGGAATGACTCAGGAAGGAGCCAAGAACAGTGAAACGCACTGAAGGCTATAATGGTCCCATGAGTCTGGGATTATGTAAGTGTCCTTGGAATCCTCTCTCTACCAATGTCAGGAGTAACTTGTAACTCAACACTGATACCTCTCATGGCCCTAATGTTGAGTACCAGGATAATGTCTTCCAAAGGATTCCACATTCTTTTTATTTCAACTATGTCTTACATGACCCTGAAAGGGCACATAACATTCAATGTACAATCTAATACTCTCTTGAGCAGTGAATGCATTTTCAGTGTCATGATTTGTAAAATAATCTTAAAAGCTAAGCTCTCGACAAATATATAATAATTTTCTCAGGACTCCCCAAATTAGATTTATATTTCAAGTAACAAAAATTGGAGAACTGACCACAGAGTCAAATGATGATTATGAAAGAATGTAGGGCATGACATGAGGGAAGTTCTCAACCCACAAAAAGAAAAGCTTTTCTGGGGCTGATGGCATAGAGCTTGGAGAGCTTGAGAGAATAAAATTAGGGTGAGGATGCTCCCTCTTGGGGGTGGCTGTGTAAGGGGATACTGCTAATGAAACCATTTCTTATGAACCTCTTTTTATATGGAAATCTAAGGGGAGACCTCCTCACAGGAGCCTCATGCCAAAAAAGGGGTGTTCACGCTGAGTGGAATGGCAGTAGGGTATGGTGAGGTCCATCAAGGCTGGGATTCTAACAGTTCCCTACAGCCTGCTCATGACTTGCAGGAGATTCAGAACTTAATGCTCCATTTGGGTTCAGGGACAAGGCTATAGTTTGAATGAGAAGGAAAGACAGTGAGTGCAGACCTCACGATAAGAAGGAGTATCAGGGACCTGGGACATGGGGAGACACCAAAGGCAGACAGTAGAAGGACTTAGGGTCACCAGTTGGAGGTCCCTGACCTCACTGCCATGGCTTTACATGACCATTTGCTGTATCCAAATCCAGATCTCACCCAGGAGAAGGAAAGATGAATGGGGAAAGAGAAAACCACTGAAAAACTAAGTCCTTATCCAAGTGACTAAGCTTTGAACTGGACTGTGAAAATGGGATACAAATTCCCAGAACTTGCCCCTTCCCACAGAAGTCACTCTATGGACTAAGTTTAACAGGATAAGTTAAAATCAATTGTCTTCTCTAGGCAGGCTGGGGGCTCAAGAACAAAGTTGGGTTTAGTTATTAAAAAGATAGTTACGTGCTGGGAAAACTGGACAGCTACATGTAAAAGAATGAAATTAGAACACTTCCTAACACCATACACAAAAATAAACTCAAAATGGATTAAAGACTTAAATATAAGGCCAGACACTATAAAACTCTTAGAGGAAAACACAGACAGAACACACTATGACATACATCACAGCAAGATCCTTTTTTGACTCATCTCCTAGAGAATTGAAAATAAACAAATGGGACCTAATGAAACTTAAAAGCTTTTGTACAGCAAAGAAAACCATAAACAAGATGAAAAGACAACCCTCAGAATGGGAGAAAATATTTGCAAACCAAGCAACTGACAAAGGATTAATCTCCAAAATATACAAGCAGCTCATGCAGCTCAATATCTAAAAAACAAACAACACAATCCAAAAATGGGCAGAAGACCTAAACAGACATTTCTCCAAAGAAGATATACAGATTGCCAACAAACACGTGAAAGGATGCTCAACATCACTAATCATGAGAGAAATGCAAATCAAAACTACACTGAGGGGCTTCCCTGGTGGTGCAGTGGTTGCTGATGCAGGGGACGCGGGTTCGTGCCCCGGTCCGGGAGGATCCCACATGCCGCGGAGCGGCTCACTCGTGAGCCATGGCCACTTAGCCTGCGCGTCCGGAGCCTGTGCTCCACAGCGGGAGAGGCCACAACAGTGAGAGGCCTGCATACCGCAAAAAAAAAAAAAAAA